TAGTATAAAACTATTTTCAGGAGAAATATGAAATTTGTCTTCCACCTAATACTTATTGGGTCTAGTACCACTTACATATTTGGCACTTTCCTGACAAAGAGAAAGCAGTTTGCTCAATAGTTTGATTCTGCATTTTTAGAAGAAAGAAAACATGCAACGTCTTATTTTTGCTGAAATTGTTTGTTGTGTATGAGTGAAAACCAAGTTCCTTCTTTCTCTTTGAAGATGGGGGAAAGAGGGAGAAAGGGAGAAAATAAGAGAAGGGAAAGAAAGGTAAAGGAAGGGAGGGGAGCATGATAAATTTGTTATCACAAATTACAACTAACTGCATGGTTTCAGACAACAGAACAATTTTTATTATTTCAGAACTGGAGTTCAGAGAGGCAATAGACAGATGGAGGTATATAAATGAATAGATAGCTGGGTAGATAAATAGAGAGATAAAGAGGTAGAGAGACTGACACACAGATACATAGACACACCGATTGTAAATAAAGGGATTAATAGGTAGATAGATTCACAAACTCTCCAATATTTGCTTTCATGAGAGTTCACTACCTTTTCCTGCTCTAGGTAAGTGTTTCCTACAACAGACTGTGGGAGTGGGGGGAGGGATAGAAGGAGGGGGGCAATGGGGAATGTGGTGGGATAGCTGTAATAGAGTAACAATAATAAAAAATAAAGCAAAAACCCCCCTTCTAAAATGGCGACAAAATTTTTTCAGGTTTATTGGCATGTGACTGACATATATAACATTGTGCAAGTGTAAGGTGTACAGTGGGTTGATTTGATACATTTATATCTAGCAATGTGATACCACATCAGCTTAGGTGACAATAGTATCAGGAAGTCACATCACTGCCATTTATTTTTTGAAGTGAGAATCTTTCAGATACACTCTCATAGCCCCTTTCCAGTATATGACTGTCTTGTTAACTGTTATCACCAGGTGTACATGAGACCCTCAGGAAATGATAATCTCATAACTGAAAGTCGATGCTCTTTGAGTAACATCTCTCCTTCCCCTGCACTCCCTGTGGTCACCACCATTTCACTCTCTGTATGTATGAGTTTGGTTTTTATAGATGCCACACATACATGAGATCATTATTGATCTTTCTCCGTGTGATCTGGTGAAGTTAAGAAAATGCCCTCGATTCCATACATGGCTCAACTGGCAGGATTTTTTTCTTCATTTTTTAAAAGTTTGTTTGTTTATTAATAGAGAGAGGGGAAGGGAAGGAGAAAGAGAGGGATAGAAATATCAATGTGTGATTGTCTCTCACGCATCCCTTACTGGAGACCTGACCTGCAACCCAGGCCTGTGCCCTGACTGGGAATCAAATGAGCAACACTTTGGTTTGCAGCCTGTGCTCAGTCCACTCAACCACACCAGCCAGGGCTTTTATCTTCATTTTTATTTTTAAGACTATTACAGATGTCTCCATTCCCCCTCCCCTCCTTTGTCCACCTCCTCCCAATCTCCACTTTCCTTCCCTCTGGCTCTCACCACACTGTTGTCTGTGTCTATGAGTCAGGAATATTTGTTCTTTGGCTAATCCCTTCACCTACCTTCATCTGGCCCCCTCTTCCTTCCCCTCTGCCTGCTGTCTGTCTGGTCCATAGGTCTATGCCTCTGTTTCTATTTTGTTCTTGTTTCTTATGGTAGAATAATATTCCTTTTTTTAAAAAAGATTTTATTTTATTTTTTTAGGGAGAGAAGGGATGGGGGAGAGAGAGAGAGAGAGAGAGAGAGAGAGAGAGAGAGAGAGAGAGAGAGAGAGTCAGAGAGACAGACAGAGAGAGACAGAGAGAGACACAGAGAGAGAGAGAGAGAAACATCAATGTGCGGTTGCTGGGGGTTATGGCCTGCAACCCAGGAATGTACCCTGGCTGGGAATCGAACCTGGGACACTTTGGTTCCCAGCCCACGCTCAATCCACTGAGCTATGCCAGCCAGGGCTGAATAATATTCCTTTATATGTATATATGCACATGGAAAATTTCACAGATTATATCTTTACAAAATGGTTACCATTGAAGGTGACGTCCCACTATGCTCTTCCTTCAAACACCAAGTGAGGGCAGTTCTGGGGAAATGGGACACATGGCATCTGATGCAGATGGGAAGGATGGTGGGGTTGGACGGGGGGTGGTATCAGTTTGTATTCATCTTTCCAGGGTCATATCTAATTTTTCCCACTTATGTATTGACTGATTCCAGGTTAACTGAGGAGAGGAAGACTCAATAATATCCATCTGATCATGTAGTGATTACAAATAAAGAACATTTTATTACATAAAACTGGAAGGGAGCACAAGGTTTTAGGTGTGTGGACACAAACAGCCATGTGGGAAGGACCCTCATGGCACAGGGGTGAGAAAACAAGGGGGGTCATTACAGACAGTCGGCAAAGATAAAGAGAGAGAAAACAGACATATAATGGAGGAGGAGTCCTGCATAGACAGCACTTAGTCACTCCCTGCACCCAAAGCTTGTTCACTGGACACATCAGCAGACAGTTTCCCCACCTGTGGTCCAGACTGTCCTTCACCACCTCCTGGGTCATAAGATGGCCTCACGGTTCCCCCCCCAGCCCCCACCGAATGGTGCCCTGTCTCCTCTGTGTTTTACGTCCTGGCTGCACTGTGGGTCTTCCTCTCGCTGTCTCAAGCCTCCAGGAGCAGCACCCCGAGGACCACCAGGACCAATGCAGCCACACCCATGCGAGTGAGATTCCCCACTGTGTAGTCTTGGGGAAGTGAGGCTGAGAAATGTAGAGAAAGAGATCACAGAGGTCAGAGCAGACCAAAGTCACCCCAGGATCCTGGATGCCCATCCAGGACACCTGCCTCCCTCCCTGTGGCAGGACCTGACCCTCTGTACCCAGCCCCACAACTGAGGATTCTCCTACTCCCCACTCCTGAGGTCTGATTTGTTTTCTGAGGGACTTCCAGCATTGGCTGCCTATGGGAATCATGAGGGTGTGAATGAGGACTTGGGATACACAAGCCTTTTTCCTGGGTTCTGTGATTTTAGATGCTTCCACCCCTCATATCACAACATTTGAACAGTCCCTTCATGTGCCCTGTCTCTACTCTGCAAGTCCCCTGTCTTTTCCTTGGATTATCTCAGCCTCTTGTGGTCTCTGAACCTACAGAGATTCACTTTGGACCAGAGTTTACTGTGCCCCATAGCTCAGGATTAGTAATAAATGCTCACAATAAGGAAATGGTTCAGTGGTGTATTCTTGGTTCTGTCTGAGAGGCACACCCCAGAAGCTCATTCCCCTACAGCTGAGAGATCCACTAAGTCAACAGCTGATGAACCAGGGTCCATGGATAATGGTTTGGTGTCAGGGCCTCCTGAAAATCCTCCTCCGTGGGGCCCCTTAAATTACCCCCTGTATTACTGTTTTAGACTCTGAAGAAACATAGCTCTCTGCTGAGTGAGCTCAGAGGACAGGATTCAGGCCACTTCATGTGAGACCAGGGCTCCAGGGTTCCCCACAGCTATGGGAAGGTGTGGTGTGAGTTGTAGCACCTGTAGGTCCCTCCATGGGCTGAGGTCACAGGACTCATGAAGAATTGGGGGGAGAGAGAATGGGCTGACCCCTTCATGGACAAAGGAAAGTGTCCCTTGGTCTCTGTGATTGACACATCAGGGTCACCTTCTCTTCTAAGGCCACTGTGGGGCCTGGCTGGACTGAGAGGCAGGGTCTGTTATGGAGCCTTCCTAGAGGGAGGGGTGTTGGGCTGAGCTGGGGTTCTGCCTTCCTTAGCTCTGTGAGACCACTTCTGTCATCTAATGTCACACAGGCATGTGAGCAGGAGGAGACCAGGGATGACAGACATGAACCCAACACTCAGAGAAGAAAAGAAACCACCCAACCCAACAGTGGGAAAAGAAGAGCCAGAACATGAACTAGGTCTGACTCCAGCCCTTGTTTCCTCCTCTGAGCTGAGCACGTGAGCTGAGGGATAGACCTGGAGGCCCCAAACCCATGTCTTCCTTATCCCTCCCTGTAGTGCCACTATCAGTGCTACAGAGGGACAGTCCCCTTAACATCGTGTCCTAGGGGACTTCCCTGTGAGGCCCCCTCCAAGGAGGTCAGAACCAGAACTGAAAGGAAGTCTAAGCTCTGGGCCACGAGTCTCTCCTTTTACAGTTGGAGACACTGAGGCACAGAGAGGGGAATGGTGTGTCCAAGTCAGAGCCTCCAGAGGTGCCTGAACTTGCACAGGACTCAGTTCCTGTCTCCCTGGATAGATCTACCAACTCCCAACAGTGACCCTAGTTTAATGCTATGAGGGCCTGACTCCATGGTGTGGGGTGAGGGCCCTATCCTCAGAGACTTCTGGAAATTCAGGATGGGGGTGAAGGGTGAAGGCTGCCTTCTTCCAACTTGAGCCTGGTTTCTCCCCCAGTCTGGGTTCCACCTTGGCAGGTGACAGGAGGGCCCACTCCTCCTGTCACCTGCCAACCTCACAGCTCTGGGGGTCCTGTGGTTCCAGAATCTCTACCTGACTCCCAACCCCTGAGACACAAGCTCATCCATGAGTGTCTGGTGGGCACAGGACACCCTGATGTGTCCTCAGAACTTTCCTGGTCTGCTCTGTGCTCCATCTCAGCAGAGTTTTCAGGGACTCACCAGCTGTGGGGATGGGCCCTGTGGGTGGGGGACTGGAGCCTACAGAGGGTCCTGGGAATGAGGACATAAGGAGGTGAGGGTCTGGGACCAAATCTGGAGTAAGTACATCACCCAGATTCTTGTGTTACACCTGCTCTGTGGCCCCCAAAACACTCCCCCTGCCCACATACCACCTTCCTGACCAAGGTCAGGGGAAGGGATGGGCAGGACTGGGAGGGTCTCTGGGGGAAGATCTCTGCTGGGCGATCAACACTCAGATCCTCTCACTCTCATCCAACTACAGACATTTCCTGGGGACAGGACCCTGAGCCGACTGTGCTCAGAGAGGATGGGGCCAGGGGCTCTTACCTGAGACCAGGAGCTCCAGGGGGTCACTAGGGTAAGACCACATATAAGGATAATTCCAAAAATGTCCATAGCATCTGAATGTCCCCCTGTGGCTGGAGGTCATGAGGCTTACAGGGAACTGGGCCTGGAACTGCCCACTGGGGTCTCGCTGTGAGTCCAGGGTCCAGGAGAGCCTGTCTTCTCCTTCCTTAGTCAGAATGAACCTGTCATATCCCAGCCATGAATCACACTGGAGGGTCACATTCCCTTCTGAGGTCATGATGAGGCTGGGCAGGGCTGAGAGGTTGGGTTTGCTGTAGGATCCTAGGAGAGAAGGAGGCAGCATGTTAAGTGGGGCTCAGACCTCCCTCACATCCCCAGGGCTGGGCTGTGAGGCGGGGACCCCCTGAGAGCATCCCTCTTCCTGAGGGCAGAGCCTGAGGCTGGGACCCCCGAGTGTCCTCTCACCTGTCACCACCAGCTCCAGGGGGTCACTGCATTCTGACCAGGCAGTGGGGCTGAGGTATTTACAATAATATCTCCCTGGATAGATATGTTTGATGAAGAACATGGCCTTGTTGTCAGGCTTGATTAATTTCTGTCTGTCCAAGGGTATATTCATTTCATCTCTATATAGACAGTACTCCTGGGCCTCCTGGGTCCCCTGACACCAGATGGTCACGGTGCTCCCTGAAGGGACCACAGAGCCTGGCTCAGCCCAGACAGTGGGTTTGGGGAGGGTCCCTGGAAAGAATCAGAGACTACATTAGAAAGACATTTCCCCACCCCTCATTCCTCTGCTCAGCCCATGTCACTCCTCGTTTACCCCCTCATCCCAGGACCTCTTGCTCCTTCCTGAGTCCCATGAGTGAAGTAGGAGGTGGGGCAGGGACCCTGGAGAGGACTCACCTGCCTGCACGTGTGTTTTCTGGCTTAGACTCAGCCCTGGAAGAGAGTCCCTGTCAGATTTGCACCCAAATGTCTGAGCTGATCCCCTTACCTCAGGGCCCTCAACCACTCGAGCTAAGGGTCCCCATGAACAAGCCTGTACAACTGCCCCATCCCCTCCTGCTGCCCTGTCCCCTTGTTCCCACAACTGACCAAGGCAGAGAAGAGCAGGGAGGATGGACATGGTGCTGTCTGCTCTGAGTGCTCCTGCTCTGCAGGTGGTGGAGAGCCTGGGCCTGGAGGACAGAGACACACAGGATGTGGTGAGTCAGGGGTGGCTTCCACCCTTCGGGTTCCCACCCCTGTGGACCCACAGCAAGGGGAGAGCCCCATCCTGGGCCTGGTACTAGGTTTTTCCATGATGAGGTCTCAGGAGGACTCCTTGCCCTCTGGAGATGCTCAGTCCAGATCTGGGGTCTCTTCTCACTCCCAGGACCCTCTGCCTGGTCTGTGTTCTAGCTGAGAGGGCAGGGCCCAGGCTCTGGATCTCCATCCATCCTTAACAGTCTGACTGTGAAAGGAACTCACTACTAATTTTTTCAGCGCATTACAAATGGCATTTACTTTTGGTCTCTGATTGGTCCTCAAACAAGTATTCACCCCATCACTTATGACCTACTGAGTATTTGTGCCAGAAATACATCCATGATCCAGGAGACTAATTATCTGTATCTTGAGAACTCTTAGCAGAAAATAGCATTCTTCTGTGAATGTTACAATGAACTTGCTTACAAAAGAGAAATGAGAAGAAATACGAGATCTGAGACCATGACTAGACTGTGGTTGAGGGAACTGCTGTTTTTTCTTATAGATTTTATAGAGCAGAAGGGAGAGACAGACAGACAGACATTAATGATGAGAGAGAAACATTGATCAGTTGTCTCTTGTACATGCCCTGACTGTGGATCTAATTCACAATCTTTTGGCGTATGGGATGCCACCACACGCAAGTAAGCTGCCAGGGCCAGGGCTGAGGGAAGGGCTGTTGAATGAGGTGGAACCTTAGGAGGTGGGAGTGAGAATATTCTTGAGAGGAAAGAATATCATAAGGAAATCTAGAGACAAAGGCTGTCTAAGAGCAGTAAGGGAGAATGAGTTGGTGGCTGTTTCTGGGCTGGCTCCCCACCACCTAAGGATGATGGATTAAGTATGTGAGGCAAAGGAATATTCAGGGATGAGCTGTTAGAGTCACACTGAGTTATGGATCTCATAGGTGCTGTGTGTCATAGAGGAGCTACAGCAGTGCAATGTGTGTAAGTAATGTGTAATGCAAACAGTAATTGAACTCCAGTCCTGTGTGTCCAACAATATTAGATAAAAGGCTTCCATGGATTCACCACACAATCCATGCATATTTTTAGCTGTCACAAAATATGTAGAGAAGAGAAATGAGGAGAAGAAATCTCAGTGTTGCTTCTAAACCTGTGCTTTTAGCTGAGGGCTGGGGAAGGAATTTGCTAGTTCTACAGAACTCTAAGCAAGCAAAGATGGAGAACAGATGGTCCATAGGAAGTGTTGTGAGTGTGTCTCTTTATGTAAGTGTATGTGTGTGTGAGTATATGTGTGCGAGTGTGTGTATGTGTGTGTGTGACTGTGTGTTCACAGAGTAACTGCACCTGTGTGGTTGAGGGAAGCAGCAGTGAGAACTGATGTTTGATGAAGAACATGGCCTTGTTGTCCACTGAGGGTGGAGGGTCACAGGTGGATGATCATGAACAACTGTGAGTTCAGAAGAAAGAGTCTAAATTTACCATAAAACAGTGAGGACCATGGATGGATTTTGAGCAGAAATGGACAGATTCTGAAAAGGAGGTGGAGAGACTGATAAGGAGGGTGAACTGCAGAAAAGAGTGAGGACTTAGAGCTCAGAATCCAGGCAGGTGGTGGGTGTGACCACTTCCATGGGGATGTGAAGGATGACATTCCCTCTCCACCTCATTGACTGCAGACCCCAAGGAGCCCTCATGACAGAGAGCCAGGGGGAGGGGCAGGGACGAACCTGGGGTCTGGGCAAACACTGATCCTGCAGGAGAGCTCAGTGCTCCCTCCTGGACCTGGAACACAGGGTCTGCATCTCACACTGTTTCCACCTGACTCTGTGTCTGTGAGACGTGGTCTCTTTCTCTCTGCCTATTCTTGGGGTGAGTCATTTGGGTTATTTCTGCTTGTTCAGAGCACCTTTGATGCTGGGGTTCACTCTCTTCTTCAACCTCTGGAGAGTCTTAAGTATTCAGACAAGATGATATTCATGAGTATTTTTATTAGAAGGCAGTAAACACACACACACACACACACACACACACACACACACACACTTTAAATATCAGTTGCTACAATACCACATCCTGAATGGCTGAAGGACCCTGGAGCAGCCTGCTTCCTCCTTTGATCTCACTTCCCTCATGGGTAGACCAGTGATACCAACCCCACCCCCACAAGTGAGGTCAGAATTCACTGTATTTGAGATATGGGGGGAAGGAAACCAGACATTCAGATTTACATGAAGACACTGGAGGTCTGAGAAACAAAAAGCAGACATACCTCTTCCAGTGAAGGAAGGATTGGACTCAGACTACAGTGCAGGGTCACATGATCATGACAGAGACCCTAGCAGTAGAGTGGGCAGACTGTAGATGTCTGACCACATGGTGCTGGGCCAGCTGGGGGAGTCTGGGGAACACGACTGACTTCATACCTGCCTCACTCCGTTAACCTTTCTTCTTTACCTCCAATTCTTCCATGTTGAGCTGCACTTACAGCTAAAACATATATATTGCTCATTAACTACTCTGGAAAACTTACTGAAGCTAATGCCTTCCAGTCTGTTTGCAGCCTGCCAGACACCTTCCTAGGGGCCAGATATCCAGGAGGTAAGAGGAAGGAAGACACAGTTTTGTGAGGGGCATCCCACCCATCCAGGCCCAGCCTGTTCTCTAAAGGAATAAAGCTGCAGGGGAGTTCCTACACTGGAGCCAGGCGGAGGTGGAACCAGGGCACCCCAGTAATATTTTTACCACAGTGTTACTGTGTTTTCAAGACATTGTATGGGGTCCATTCATGGTCCCCCACCCACTGCAGCCTAGGATGCCAGGATCTGGGTCAAAGAAGGGGGTGACAGTGTCTCACAGCAATGTCCATTTTCCAGGCTTGGTGTCCTAAAGCATCAGCTCAGGGCCTCCATACCCACATGGTCCCCTGGTCAGAGAGCCATGCTCTCCCACGACCATCTGCCTGGTTATGCTTGGACTCACACCCTCATTCCCCACACACCCGTGTTCATAAAAACAGACAGCAACCCAGACACACTCACCCCCACACCCAAGCCTGCACCCATGTCCAGGAAACAGCAAGTTTGCCTTTTTCCGTGGTATGAACGTTAGAATAACAACAGCGGGATTTGCGGATACCTGTGTCTGTGGGCCTTCCTGTGTGAGCATGCAGAAAGCAAACCATGGTGACCTTATAAGGAACACTGCCATTTTTGAAAACGTCACTCATCATTGACAAGGTACTGGAGTGAACACTGTTAGAGACAGTAAGTTTCCATAACGGCCTGTGACGATGAAATTACTCAAGTACCAGAATTGTGTGCACTTTCCTCAAGTTTCATACAATACATGGCCAGGCATGGCCTGCCACCCAAGCTGCGATGTGTTTCCAGGTCACGGGGTGCTTGGTCCTAAGCTCAGGGCTCTAGTCAGCCCCCAAACACAAGCCATGTTGTTTCTGGACAGGATGCCCTTGGTGGGTTTGTTCAAATGCTCTTTTACAACAAAGGAAGGGGAAAGAAAAGATGTTAAGTTTACCCACACCTTCCAAAAACAGTTATAGGTTTCAAATACCTTTTCTAGAAAATAGGCAAATAAACCAACAAAAAAGGGAAATGTGGTCAAAGTAAAGCAGTGTCATGACTTAGAAGAGATGGGTAGAGGGGTCAGCAAGACTCTGTCTCCAGGCAGCTAGTAATAAACTTGCCCCCTGTCAGCGTGGTCCAGTCCCCATGGAACATTTTAAAGGGTTTTTGTTCTACAGACTTTTGGCGCATCTGGTAACCCTGCTTTGGGCTGAAACATGCTGGAGGCACCATGGCCATGATGACCTTTGCTCTACTCAGGGTCCCACAGACCCCCAGTGGATCCACCACAAGGGTTCACAGTCAGAGCTGTGCCAGGATCACAGCATCCGAGAGAGTTGTCCTGCTCCTGCTTCACGCCCCTCGTGGTCCAGCATGATGGAGCATGGAGAGCCAGCACCTAGCAGTCAGCCTGCTGGGCATGTGAGTGTGGTGGCACAGAGCCTCTGGGGACAAGAGTGACTGAGACCATGAGATAGTGACCCTGGAGTGAAAGTGACGTTGACACAGAAATGCTCAAGAAATCTAGGAATGTGTCTGTTGGAGGAATAGCATGTTCTAACTCCAAGAGCTGAGTAGTCCCTTTATTGTAGGTGGTAGTTTGTGGGTTATTTCTGTAAATGCTGATTCAATTAGGAAGTAAAGGAATGAAGGGTAAGAAGGGGAGGTCTACAGAAGTCAATGTTCTCAGGTGCATTGTGTGCTAAGAACAGATGTTTGGTTTTTTCTCCATCAGACAGTGGTTACCAAAAAAATGTGCAAGCAGCAGGTGGTAGTCTCAAATTTTGGATAAAACTGTATATGACAGAAATTTTCATGAATTTAGGATGTGATAAGATATTCCAAGAGCTCTAGCTGGTGTGCATTGAGTGCTGGCTGTGAACCAAAGGGTCGCTAGCTCGATTCCCAGTCAGGGCACATGTGTGGGTTGTGGGCCAGGTCCCCAGTAGGGGGCACTCAAGAGGCAACCACAGATTGATGTTTCTCTCCCTTCCCCTCTGTCTAAAAATAAATGAATAAAATCTTTTTTAAAAAAAAGGCATTCTAGGACGTTCAGATTGTTGCTCACATTTCACTAGAGATGGTCATCTCATAACAGATATTCAGTATGACCATTTCCTGGAGGTCTGTTGCATCAGACTGAGACCCATGAGAATGTGGACTCTTTCTGGGCATCATCCATCTACAACAGCTATCACCCACTGCAAAGATGACAACTCGTGTAGTTGCACTGTGGGACGTGGCATTCCACAGCAATGTGGATGTGTAGCTGCTGAGAACTTGAGTTCAGGCTAGTGTCACTGGGTAACTAAGGTTAGAAATTTATTTAATCTAGGTGTTTATCCAAAGAAA